TTCAAGCCACGCGTGCTCAATCATGCATCGGACCTTGCACGACGGGCCCCCTTGCGACCCCGACCCAGGAACATTGTTATATCACAGGTGGTCCTGAGGAGTATTCTACACTGACGTGTTCTGGGCGTGCCTACGACATGTGACAGGGCACGCATGCGCACTAGCGATTGCCAGCTGCCTGAGCTGACTTTGCATGCAGCCGACCCCATGGCTGCTCAAGTAAGTAAGCTGAGCTGGCTACCCGAGAAACAGCCTGAAACTAAAAAGACCTGATGTAGTCAACGGCAGCCTGAAAAGAGACACGTTTGTTGCTGCCGAACTTAAAGCATTTCTCCTGGCCCACGGCAGCGCGATCAGGCCACGCGCGCCAGCCCCCCTTTGAGGCGCTGGGGCTGACCTTCCCCTTGCCGACGTGCACTGACCCCTGCTTTGGCACTTCGGGGAGGTCTGAATTCTTCGGAGCTTTCTTCGCAACTTGGACAGCAGACGCGTGTGCTAGACTGGCAGCCGCGGGACGCTTCTTGGCGCTGGGAGCGCCGGCTGCTTCCATGGCAGCTTCTTCTCGTTCCTCTCAGCCTCAGCTTTGGCCTTGGCCCTCTGGACCAACTGCTCGCGCTCGGCCTCGAGCTTGCCGGCTACGGCAGTCGCAGCGACCTCATCGCTGCACGCCGCGTCCGCTAGCATCGGGGCCTTTGCGACCTTCGTGTGCTTGTCTAGGTCGCCTGAAAGAACGGCAAGCGCTGACGGCGGCTCTTGGCTGTCAGGTGGGCCGCCCATTGCGGCCTCCTCTTGGGCCTTGCTCGGGGCTGGGAGGTACCTCATTGGAGTCGCCCAGGCAGGCTCCATGGACGGAGGGCTAGCAGCGTCCTGCACGGGCAAAGCAGCGGGAACTTCTACTGTGCTCGACATCATAGGAGGCAGCCCAGGCTGTTGAAGTGGTGCGACGCCTCCAGCGCCAGTGTACTTGATGTTCACCTGCCCCATTCCCGATCCATTGGCGAAGCCAGCCATGCCCAGCTGAAAAGCTTGCTGTTGGCTCAAGCCCATAGCAGACGCAGCAGCCATGAAGTTCATCACGTTGACCTGCTGCGGCTGCGGCGTGCCGAAATTCAGCGCGTTCGGTAAAGCCGCAGGAGCAGATTTGGGAACAGCTCTGGGAACGGAGTCCCTGACGGTCACGTTCGTCGGCCGACATGATACTCTCTTGCGAACGATGAGAAACATCGGACTGTCGAACGTCACTGGAGGGCCCTCGTCTGTGTACATGGACTTCTGGACCTGCACTGGAAGCTCCGAGGGCTTGTCACTCAACGAACGAAGAACTGGCAAGCTATCCACTCCAGGTGGTGGACTGCTGAAGTAGCTCGGGAAGCGATGGGCCATGTTGTACATATTGACGGGGTCTTGCTCGCTCCCCATTGCAACGGCGCGCGCAGCCACCATGTCCGCGCATGCAGGGGGGCTCGGCTGCACCATGCCTCCTTTCATCAGCCTGGTGGCAATCCGCATTGCTTTGGCAGCGTCGTCGAATGGCTTACTCTGGTCATTGATGACTGCCCAGTCGGACGCGGTGAGGTAGCTGAGAATAGAGTCACGCTTGGCGAAGGACTGCTTCTCCGTGGGGAGGAGACGGCTGGCTGTCGAGCTTCTCAGTAGCTTCTCGTCGATGCAATTGCTGATCGTTTTCTTTTGATCGGTGCTGAAGGACGATTGACTGAGGGCCTTGAGAAGAGCCCCAGCGCTCTCGCTGAACACTGGCTGCGAAATCGACGTAACCATTGCACAGATGCTGGAAGCCAGTGAGGCTCGAATCTGTTCCAAGGCGGCACCATCAACACCAACGGCCTCGTTGTCAGCCAGGAACGCTGACACTTCCCTGCATCTCCGTCAGGCAACTTGAAATGGTAGCCATCTCTTGCAGGTGGAAGCGTAAAGGACTGCAGCGCGCGAGGAGATCTCCTTTGACAACGTCGCAAAACAAAGGCTTAAACCAAAGCTAACTACGGAGAGAAGTGGCTGACAAGAATAGAAATCTCTCCAAATCGGCCCTTGCCAGCATAGAATAGCACATCAACTTGGACGGCACGCGCTGCACAGGGCAGCCGAGACTGAACTGAGACTGAAAATCACCATTCGATGAGAATTTTTCAGTTTTGAAAATTTCGAGAGAATTTTCAATTCTAAAAATTCTCTTCGATCCGAACCAAACGGAATTTTCAAAATTGAAAATTCTCTCCGGAGGTCTTCGAAGGAAACTTTCAAAATTGAAAATTCTCTTCGAAACGTCTCCGACGCTTCCCGCTGCGGTTCCAAGCCGAACTGAGGTCAAGGAGGCCAGATGGAGAGCTCGTGAAATGCCGATGGAGGCACACATGCAGCGCCGACAGACCAAAGTCCTCAGACCTGGGGGCTCAGGATTCAGGGCTACGCCTGTGCTCTCGAGTACGCACTGCTTTGCCGACTGTCTACGATCTCAAAAAAAAAAAAAAAACTCATTCCCCTACTCTCCTGACCTCCCACTTTCCGTACTTTCTCACCGATGTCCTGCAACCTCGCTGACGCTAGCAAGCACCCTCATTCAAGCTATCCGCATCCTCTTCCCTATCCTTCCCGTTGTCCTCCATTTCTTTTGTTTCAACCTCACTTGAAAAAAACGTGCGTGCTATTCCTCCTCATCTCCCTCCTCCTCCTTCTCCTCCTACCTTCTATATTTCTCATCCTCCTCATCCTACTCCTCCTCCTTCTCCTCCACGTGATCTATTCCTACTCATATTCGTATTCCCCCTTCTCTCCCCTATCTTCCTCATCCTCCTCCTCCTTCTCCTTCTGGTCTACATGCTCGCTCTGCTATGGACTGTGACGCAGAAGTTGGTAGTCAGACGGACGCTGCGATGCTGATAGATGTGGATGCGATGATCATGATTATGTTTTGTCTTTGCTGGCTAAGCGCAGGGCGCGTATCTAGGTGCAAAGGCCATGTGTCGCAGCGCGCACTCCCCGTGCACTTGCAAGAAAGATCGCCGTGGTTGCCTACAGCGAAGAAGCCAATGCATAGCGTCGCGACCTAAACGCAGGTCAGTTGCGATCTAAAACTACTTGCGCCTGCGCTTCGCCGAGTTCGCCGAGCCTGCGCTCGGGCCCGCACTCCCTGAGCTGCCACAAGAAGGGCGGCTCCCTGAGCTGCCGCGACATGGGCCGTCTGCGAGGGACCCCAGTGCCTCGTCGGAGTCGCCATCGGTAACGACAGGGCGCAGGTATGCACGAGTGTCAGGTTTCTCCGTGGCGAGGGCTTTCATGAACACCCACTCGAGCACTTCTGGCGTTGGCTGCACAAGTAGCCTCGAAGGTGACACATTCAGGGGCATGCTCGTTTTGACGGCATCGACCTCGAAGTCATACACGCGGAACGCAGGCATCTCCACGTCCACCAACGGGTTGACCCCTTGCTGCCCTTCAGCAAGGGCCCTGAGGGCCTTCTTCTGAATGTTCTGGCGGTACGCCGTCAGCTCTGCGGCGGAAACGTGAGACTCATCATGACCAAGTGCGTCTTTCGACGCCGCCTTCTGGAGGTCCAGGAGTTCGCTGATCACCTTCGAGGCCACCACCGAATACGCCCTGGAACCATGAAGCCACTGAAAGAAGTCCTTGTCGCCTTTGCAGAGAGCGACGAACTCAACCCCTCCCACGTTGACTACCTCTGCCCCGCGCCAGCTGGCGTTGCCAGGAATCGGGCTGGTGATCGTCAAGGTGCGAGTGCTCTCGATAGCCGTACGATTCTTGATCGCACTGATGACATCATCGATTGCCGCCGACTTGGCCTTGGCAGCAGTCATCTCAGCGAGAGTTGGCATACTGGAGGCGCGGGCACAAGGGGGCGGTATATGTCGAGGCAACTTGAGGTTGCACGAGCTAAAACGGCTGCGGCTGAAGATGGAGATGTGGCTTGCGATGGTGCAAGCGACTGCAATGATGATTGTGATTGGACACAAGCACAACTAGACTCGCAACCGAACCCATGCTAATGATGACGACGCTGACGACGCAGACGACGACCTGCGAGATGGCGACAGCAGCAGTGTTACCGATCAATGGCAGGGAGGGAAGGAAGGGCACGCGCGGGCGCAAGCACGGCGCGCCTTCGCTGTGTAGAAGCCCTCGACGTAAAGACGGGCGGCGGCAGAGGGCGGGGGGTCTGCCTCTTGTGGCTGTTGCTGCTGCTGCTGCTGCTCCTCCTCCTATTCCTCTTCGTGCTCCTCCTCCGCCTCTCCTCTCTTTCTCTTCCTCGTCCTCCTCCTCCTCCTCCTCATCCCATCCCATCCTCCTCATCCCATCCTCCTCCTACGTCTGATCCTGCTCCTGCTGCTCCCCCCTCTCATGCTCCTCAATCTCCTTCCTCCTCCTCGACGCTCCTTCCTCTTCCTCCTCCTGCTCCTCCTCCTCGCCGCTCCTTCTCTTCGACGTTTTTGTCGCGGTCCTGAGCCACTGTATTACCACATCGGCTGAAACAAATTCAAGGACGACGGTTGAGGCTGCTCGAACCCCCTCCCTCGACCACGGTTCCAGAGGGGCCTCCATGCAGGGGGCCTCCAGAGGGCCTCCAGGGGGAAGGAGGGGGCGGATGAGAAGGAAGAGGCGGAGGGCGAGGAAGAGGAGGAAGAGGAGGAGGAAGAGGAGAAGGAGGAGGAGAAGGAGGAGGAGGAGGAGGAAGAGGAGTGGCTTGGCGACACTCGCATTGCATAAGATTAATCATCAATTGGCCAGCTCAGAGCACAGGCCGAGGTCCAATGAACATCGCAACGACATGCGGCACTGCATCGAGACATGCTGACGCGAGTGCGCTTCACCCCATCGCACATGGCAGCATTAGCTTGACCAAACACATCCAAGCTTCTCAAAGCTTGCTGGGACAAACCACGGGCGCCTGTTCGCAGGCGAGGCTGGCGAGAAAAGAAGAAAAGCTGGCGAGATAAGCGACACGTGACCAACTGCCCTCCCCCTCCCTACTGGCATCTCCTCGACTCCATCCTGGTACTCATCCTCCGCCGTCCTAAGATCAACCATTGCCGTGGCCTCTTCTTAGGCTGCCACGGGCAACAAAGGAGCTCTGCATTGGCCTTTAGATCGACAGTGTTTGTCATGACAGGCAAGTAAAAATTGAAGCCGTGAGAATGCAGCAGGCCTTCTACTGATAGCTGAGTGGTCTCGCACACGCCTACATTCTCAATGATCATGTTTGCCTTCTGGCCCTCCACAGGCTCGGCGACGGCCCAGAAGGGCGGAACGATTGCCTTTGCAGTCGACTTGGGACCTGGGAGGACGATGTGGGATAGCAGGCTGAACGCGATGGGGGGCCTCTCCACCATCTTGCCGAGATCGAGCCCCTTAGTGCAAGGCGTATCTCCATCACGATCCTCGATCTTCGTCGTCGTCGGCACGAAGACAAGGTCGCCCTTTTTCACTGCCTCTGTAGTCCTGACCGAGAAGGGGTTGGCATAGATCTTGATCTTATCGTATGACGAGTTCTGTATCGACAGGCGCGCCAGGCACACTAGGATGGAGCCCTTGGTGTGGCTGGCAATCCACTCCCTGGATGCCTCAGGCGAGTGCAAGCTGGAATCGATCTCGTACTGGATCTTGGCAGTGGCGGCCGCCCAGTCGGCTTTGAGTTTCTCAAGGTCCAGCTGCAAGGGTTGGCCATTCTCAAAGACGCCCGTCGGCATCAGCGTGGCGCCGTCTGCGGTGAGCTGCTCAAGCGTGTAGTAGGTACACTGGTCCTTGCTGTCCTTGCTGGCGCCGCTGCCCCTCCTCTTCACGATGCAGCCCTCGGTAAAGCCGGGCCTCTGCATCTGGAACGCAGCGTCCTTCAGCTGCGCCATGGACTGCGTCGTCAAGCTGGCGGCCGCGGACTGTGGCTCCTCCTCCTGCTGCTCTGCTAGGTCGTCGCTGCTCCTGGTAGCAACCACCTGACGAAAGAAAGAAGTGGGGGAAGAACGAGATCGGATTCTGTTGAGGATATCTGTTATCGTGGCTGTTTCTGTTGATTTGAACTGGTGTCTAAACTGACTTTCGGGGGAGGTGACCCCCCACCTGACGCGGCCTCTTCCCGAGGATCCTCTCGTTGGGAAGCCAAGGGTTGTCCAATGGCGTGCCGACGTAGGCGGACAGTTGGTCAACAAATGGTTGACCTGCGTGCTCCAGCGACTCGTGCTCCTTGCCTTGCCTGCTCTGCTTGCCCTTCCTCAGGACGCGGTTGGCGAGGGCAGTGTCGTGCAGCGCAAGCATCTCCATGCATTTGGCTCTTGGGACATTATGCTCAGCCAGCATATCCCTCGCCAAATCCATCATGCCTTCAGCTTGGAGCACAGCAGCTTGGGACCCCTTGGCAACGAGTTTGTTGAGGTCGGACGCCTTCTCCAAGGAGCACTTGTAGCCGACCACCTGGATGGTCAAAAATGCGCAGCCCTGGACGCAGCCCACCACGCCCCCGTGCCTTGCGCTGGCGAGGACTTAGAGGGGGAGTGGTGGATGCATCCAAGTGCGTGCACATGTTAACCATCGCCGAACCTTCTCCAAGGGGCTGAGCGCATTCGAGAGGAACGCCGCACCGCGCACACGGTGGAGCTGCAGTACCCCAGGCCACTTGAGGCTCGCGGGCTTCTCGTAGAACGCGCCTCCGATGTAACCGAAGTTCGCGGTGGCGGTCTTCGGGGCCTTCACCGCCGCATTCTTCATGTCTCTCAGCTCGGTCAGCTGATCGGTGGCGGTAAGCTTGGTAAATTTGGCCAGGCTTACGGCCAAGCCGCTTCAGAAAGGATGGTTGCTGACAGCCTCGCTCTCAGCGTAACTCCACGCCTCCTGCTCGGACTTCTTCGCGCCGGTGGCGAGGGCGTAGTTGCTGTGCATCGTCAGCAGGCCCTCCAACTCGGACTGATCTTGCTCCCCTGGCCAATTCAGCGCCTTTTGCCCCAGCGGCACTAAGGAAGGCCATCGCTCCACGACTTCCTCGGCAACGATCGTCCAGGTCAGGCCTTGCTCAAGCGCCTTCCTGAGGCTGGGATGCTTGCCTCCAAGGTCGGAAGGGTCAAGCCTCCCAGTGGGGGCAAGCTTCTGGTTGGCGCACTCCGTCCTTGCGCTTGCCCCGCGGAGGAAGCAAGTGTTGTGGCTACTTCCGAACGAGACTGCGAAGATACTCTCAAACTCAGGCATCCCCTGCGTCGCAGCAATGCGATTGTTGAAGGCCAGCAGCTCCTCGGTGCGCGCGGTGCCAGGCTTCGCCTGGACGGCGAACGCCCCTTGGTTGGCGCGAGCCAGGCTGCAGCCAGCGCCACAGTGCTTGGCGGCGCTGTTCAAGGCGCTCTGGAAGCAGACTCCAATCCCACCGCGGTTATTGGGCTCGACGCCTACGAATCGAGGCAAGATTTGCTGAGGCCAGAGCAAGGAACTGTGCTCCGACAAGGTCTCCACAATCTTGTCCCATGTCTTGACTACCTCCTTGTCCTTCTCGTACGCAGCGAAAGCGGCATCCACAGTTGGCGCAACTGCGTCCAGCGCCGTCTGAAGGGGGCTCGCCATCAAGGGCGTCGACTGGCGCCTTCAGGTGAACAGGACTCTGAAATGCAGTTCACACCTGGAGCCAAAATGGGCTACGCTGGTTCGGAGAAGGGGGATGTGAGGAGGAGGAGGAGGGATACTTCTGGTAGGGCTTCTGTGGGCTAAACAACTTAGCAGGCTTGCTAAATCCTTGGTAAACCCTGTGCTAAAGGGTTACCCTGATTAGCTGGGCTGCTTAGCTAAATACTTAAGCAGTTTAGCTAAGACTCTGCTAAACCGTTACCACGTGCCGCCCCTGGATAGCTAAATGCATAGCAAGGCCATAGCACAAGCCGTAAGGGTTTGTGATAATCCTTAGCGAACCTAGCATCAGTAATGCAACGGCCCGTAAGACCACAAATGATTACATGGCATAGCAATCGGTTGCAGAAGATACACAATACATGGCACAGCATTACCAGGACTTGCCATGCAAATACTGGTGGATTGGTAACACCTTACATCCCTCTCAAGCGTTTGCAAAGCGCTGACCGCTCCAAGTGGGCCCTGGAAACGACAGGGCCGTTTTTTTACCGGTTCTGTTTTGCCGTTTTTCTGCCAATTCCGACGCCGTCTTTTACTGGTTCCGTCGCCGTTTTTGGACCGGTTCCGGCTCCGGTTCCAATCCTGGAGCCGTTTTTTTGCCGTTTCCGGTCGCCGTTTTTTTGCCGATTCCAATTTCAAGGGGCATTTTTTTGAAACGGTGTTAAAGCGGCGCTGCCGTTTCCGGGGCCCGCAGAATAACAGGTTCCCCGTAACCGGGGTGCTGGTAACCGGGGAACCTGGCTACATCCGAGAGGGAAGGGTTCGGAGGCACCACGAGGGAGGCCTTCGCAGGAACGACTGAGGGCCATTTAACCCGATGTAAGGGCCATTTGACCAAGTAAGCCCAGATGACGCCCAAAATGATCGAACAACATGAGACGGAGTTAAGCCGGATTGTCGGTTTTTATCGAGGATATACCAGAGGCGAGGCTGAACTGAATCTCCCAGGAGTTGCATCCAAAGAAAAGGGAGGTACAACAACACGAGGAGCTCGGCATTCATGCAGCTGGCAACTCTTGGGAGGCAAGCTGCAGTCGTCAGCTCCTGGTGTGAAACCACTCTTGGAAGGTCTTTGCGGGCACGATCACGAACTGCTAAATAATACACGGGATCATGAAGCCGGATTCAGAAGCTTCCACCAGGGACAGCGCGAAGCGCAAAGGGAGGGGGGCGAGGAGGGAAACAGGAGGCCGAGGTCGAGAAGGAGGGCCAGGAGGAAAGCAAGGGCGAGGAGGAGACTGGCGAGGAGGAGGAGGAGGCAGAGGAAGAGATGGGCGAAGATGAAAAGGAGGAGGGGAACGCCTCTCGCTTTCCCACCGGTACCCGTCTGGCCGAGGCGTACCCCTCCCCCCCCCCCCTGGGGCGAGCGATCTGCGGAGCCGCCTGGCGGAGGGGGAGGAGAGGTCGTCGTCGTCGTCGAACGCAGGCATGGCAAGAGACGTGCTCCGTGGCTAAATACGGTGAGGGCGTTGGACAAGAAAAACCATTGGATCAGGAATCCAGGGAGCTGGAAGCTGGTGACCCTCCGATCCTGGATGGGCCATGGATACCACCGCCGCCCTCATCAGATCAGGAATCCTCCAGGGTCTGAAGCCTCCTGAAGACATTCCCCAACGAACGCCCGAACAGTAGAGAGAGCGCTCGGAGCCCTGACAGGCGGAAGAAGGGCGGAGGCGGCAGAGAGGTGGGGAGGCGGAGGAGGG